ATTTATTGTTCTGCTTTTTTTTTTTTATAATAGCCATTATGGTGGGTGTGATGGATGTGAAGTGGTATCTCTTTGTGGTTTTAATTGCGTTTTTCTGGTAGCTAATCATATTGAGCATTTTTTCATGGACTTACTGGCTATTTGTGTATCTTTTGGGGGGAAATGTCTATTTAGGCCCCTTGCTGATTTTTTTATTTGGGTTGTCTTTTATTATTGAGTTGTAAGGGTACTTTACATATTCTAGATTCAAGTCCTTTATCAGATTTATGATTTGTAAATTTTTTTTGCCTGATTAAAATTACTCCTATGTTTTGTTCTAAGAGCTTTGTAGTGTTAGCTCTTATATTTAGGCCTCATCCATTTCGAATTAATTTTTGTGTAGGGTGTGAGGTAGATGGTCCCACTTCCTTCTTTTGCATGTGGATATCCAGTTGTCTCATGACCATCTGTCAAAAAGACTATATTCTCTCCCTCCATTATAGTGTCTTGGCACCCTTGTTGGAAATCAGTTGACCATAAATATAAGAGTTTTTTGTGGACTTTCAATTCTATTCTATTGATCTCTAGTTTTGTCCTTTTGCCAGTCTCATAGTTAGTTTCAAAATTGTTGCTTTTTCACCTGACACTCATAAAAAAAATTTAAGCAATATCAAAGGGTACAAAGAGAATGTAAAATATCATTCTAAATCTCACAATCCATGATTATCTACCATTAAAATTAGGTGAATGTCATTTGAGAAACTGCACTGTTTCTTTCTTTCTATATATTATATATGATACACATACCTGTGTGTATATGGGTTATAGTACATATAGATGTCTGTGTATGTTTATAAACATGTATAGATACAGGGATGTATTTAGAAATAATTCTATAAAAATAGAATTATATGTGCTTTTTAATGAAATGTTTTAAATTTTATTTTACTTGATTTTAGCAAGTGAAAGAGAAACTAAAGTGAATATGAAAGACTTTCTTGAACTTCAAGTAAATGTAAGAAAGATCATTTCCTAAAAGACTCTTCTCTGGTTAAGAATCACAATTACCAAAAAAACCAAAAAAACAAAAAAAACCCAAAAAAACTCTTTTTACCTTGTTTTTTTAATTGAAATATAGTTGATTTACCATGTTGTGTTAATTTCAGGTGTACAGCATAGTGATTCAGTTATTCATATATATACTCTTTTTTTCAGATTCTTTTCTGCTATAGGTTATTATAAGATATTGAGTATAATCCCCTGTGCTATACAGTAGGTCCTTGTTTGTATAAAAACTCTTTCAGAGGAGGTTCAAATTGTTACCTTTTTCTCTTTAGGTATATATTTCATTTTTAGAAAGCTTCAGTTTATTCACTGATGTAAAAGATCAGGAAATCAGTAGTTAAGTATTTCTCCTACTTTTCACCCAATTCTAGATTTTTCTTAATTAATATTTTTACCCAGTTAAGGTTTATATCATTAAAATGTGTGTTGTAGCTATAATTTTCACAGTTGTAAAGTCCTCG